AAAGGTTAAAGGAATGTTACATCCCCTAAATTTGCTGAAATTAATGAGTTTTCATTCTGTTAGAAGTTGAATGAAAACCTATGTTTTATGTGTCTTGCAGTGAATGAATATGCAGATGCTTTGCAGAGTTTGTCTCCAGCGTCTTCTTAAGAGATAATTCTGTAGGTTTGCTTACAGGTTTTCTTTACCAGAGAAGCATTGCTTTTTCTGATATTAGCAGCTTGCAGTTTCTGAAGGTCTGGCATTTGCCATAAAAGCAAATTGACAGAATTTGTATTCTCAAGGAAGGAGAACCTCTTTGAAATCCTCGTGTAATGCTTAAGAACAAATGTTCTCCTTTTTCTTTAGGTAATTTTAGGAGGTGGGACTGCAAAACCCCAAAGCAACATGACTGGTAGTTATATTTCAAAGGAGAAAGACAGAATAAAAGAGAGAGGAAACCAACAAGATAGATTTTAATACTTGAACTAAGACTGCAACTCATTCTGAACAGAAAATACAATTAGAAGAATCAAATATTTGTGCATATGCTCTCTCTAGGTTAGCAGTAAAGACTGTCAAAGGAATTGTAACGTTGCTGTCAAAATCACCTGTAAACAAGACTTTTACTGCATGATAGCAAATGAACAAGTCTTTACAACTCTTATTGGGCTACATTTTGCAAAATGTGAAGTCTTTTACTTAGAAGGAATGCATGTGTTTTCTTTTTGGCAAGTATATTGGAGTTTTAATCTTCAGCTTGAGAAAATAGCCCTGAACAATGTTATTTTCTTAATTTGTATTGCACAATAATTTCTCAGTGTCTAGGGAACAGAAGTAATAAGATAAGTACGAGATTGACCAGAAATAGAACCTTAAGTACTATATTTGATCATGTATCTTTTAAAATATTTGCTTTATGGAAAAAAGCAATTTCAATAAAATGGAGTATTACGGAGGAGTTACAGGGCTCCTACTAAATAGAAGATTATTTAAAAAGGGAAAAAGCACAACAAAGTGGATTTGGTGACCACAATTTTTTTTTATTTCAACATAAATCCAGGAAACATGTTTGAATTAGAATATCCACCTCATCAAGTAAATGTGCATTGCCCTACATCACTGCAGCTACTTTTGTCTGCAGCATGCCACTCTCCTTTTGCTATCACAAGCTTCCATATTTGTTTCCTGTGTGTATAACAATACAAAGCAAAATCTATTAGTTACAGTTAATCAAGATAGTAAAAGGATTTCTCTTCACAATTAAAAATTAATAAGTTAAAATTATAATTAAGTAAAAATGTAATACATCTAAAATCTAGAAACATTCAGGGGACTAAGATTAACTCTTGAACTTCAGTTTCACGCTGCAAAGACTGTAAGACTGGCATAGATTCAGAACCGTATGAATTACTATAAACTTCCTGTAACTGGAAAGAATATAATTGCAGAGCTCATTTAGTGCTATATTTGGGATTTTGTATATTAACAAATAGTAGTGATTTGAAAGCCTTTATTTCAATATATAAACCTTTATCTCAGTATACAGGAACATATACAATTATGTCTAAAGAAATAGGATGGCTGCTAACAATATTGTCTGTGATTAATTTTGTATGTGACAGAGGAGGGAAAAATGCTCTTACACATACCAAGGGTACATAATGAATAAAAAAAAAGTAAAATCATTATCTCTGATAGGAAAAAAAATTGCAGTATGTTGCAGTTTAATCATTAATTGATCAATAATACCCATAGGGATCCTTTTGAAAGAATACTAAATAATGAGAATCATAGAACCATAGAATGGCCTGGATTGAAAAAGACCACAGTGATCATCTAAGTTCAACCCCCTGCTATGTGCAGGGTTGCCAACCACCAGACCAGGCTGCCCAGAGCCACATCCAGCCTGGCCTTGAATGCCTCCAGGGATGGGGCATCCACAGCCTCCTCGGGCAACCGGTTCCAGTGCCTCACCACCCTTTGGGTGAAAAAATTCCTCCTAATATCTAACCTAAATCTCCCCTGTCTCAGTTTAAAACCGTTCCTCGTTGTCCTATCACTATCCATCCTGGTAAACAGCCGTTCCCCTTCCTGTTTCTACGCTCCCTTCAAGTACTGGAAGGCCACAATGAGGTCTCCCTGGAGCCTTCTCTTCCCCAAGCTAAACAATCCAGTTCCCTCAGCCTTTCCTCACAGGAGAGGTGCTCCACTCTCTGATCATCTTAGTGACCCTCCTCTGGACCTGCTCCAAGAGCTCCACGTCCTTCCTGTACTGGAGGCCCAGGCCTGGATGCAGTACTGCAGATGGAACCTCACAGGAGCTGAGTAGAGGGGGACAATCACCTCCCTCTCCCTGCTGACGACTCCTTTTTCAATGTCGCACAGAACACAGTTGGCCTTCTGGGCTGCAAGAGCACACTGCTGGTTCGTGTCCAGCTTCTGGTCTACCAGAACCTCCAAATCCTTCTCTGCAGGGCTGCTCTCAAGGGGTTCTTCACTCAGTCTCTATAAATACATGGGATTGCCCTGACCCAAGAGCAGCACCCTGCACTTGGCCTTATTGAACCTCATTAGGTTCTGATAGGCCCACTTCTCCAGCCTGTCCAAGTCCTTCTGGATGGCTTCCTTTCCCTGCGATGTATTGACTGCACCGCTCAGCTTGGTGTCGTCTGCAAACTTGCTGAGGGTGCACTCAATGCCAACATCCATGTCACTGATGAAGATGTTGAAGAGCACCGGTCCCAGGATCAACCCCTGAGGGACACCACTTGTGACCGGCCTCAATCCTGACACAGAACCAGTGATCACAACCCTTTGGTTGCATCCAGCCAGCTAACTCCTAATCCACTGAACAGTCCATCCTTCAAATCCACACCTCTCCAGTTTAGTGAGAAGAATGTGGTGAGGGACCATGTCAGAGGCCTTGCACAAGTCCAGGAAGATGACATTCAGTTTCACGAGGTCTCGGACTTGTTCCACTGTTATAGTGGGATGGAATGCACTGCTCTCACCCACATTTAGAGCTTCAGGGTCCTGGCAGACATGTGGAGGAGCGTGACTATCAGTAAAGACCGAGGCAAAGCACTTATTGTGCTCCTCAGCTTTTTCATGTCTGAGGAAGCCAGTTCTTCATCCTTATTTCTCAGAGGGGGAAAACTCTCCTTGATCTGTTTCCTCCTGCTTATGTACCCAAAGAACTCCTTCTTGTTATTTTTCACATCCCTTGCCAAGTTGAGCTCTATCTGCACCTTGGCTTTATTGATCTTATTTTTACACTTGAGGGCAACGTCCCTTTATCATTCCCAGGCTACACAACCCTGCTTCCACTTTTTGTACATTTCCCTGTTTTCCCTCAGTTTAAGCTGCAAGTCCTTGCTCAGCTATGCCAGTCACCTGCCTCCTCTCCTCAATTTCTGCTGCTGGGTAATGGAGAGCTCAAAAAGAGCTTTTTCCTCAGTAGAGTTTTATATGTCATCTTTTTGTGTCTGCTGCTTACTTGAAAGGCAGACAGTAGTGGTCTGATACCAGGGGTTCCCAGATAGTGGCATGGAAACAAAGGAAATAATTTTCAAAGAGCCTATTTCAAAGACTTCATTTGATTTATATTAAACACATAATTAACTGCTTGAACAAACTGAGAAAAAAGCTCTTTTAAATTTACAGAACAAACATAGCAGTTCACATGTCAGGTTGTGAAACAACCATGGCATTTGCTTAGAAACATAAAAAACAATAGACTCTGGTTCATTTTTCCTGAACATTACTTGTATGGGAAAGCTGGCAGTGAGCAGAAGAAGGAAGTGAATTTACAGTGCATTAGCTGCTCCAGACTTGCTCCTCCTCCCTGCAAATGAGCTGCTGTGCCCTAACTGCAAGCATTGGAGGAGCAGCATCTTGCATACACATCCCCAGTTACTATAACTGGGTAATCACAGTCTGCAATTTTCACAAGGGCTATGTTTCCTCTGCAGTCCCTCAGTTCCTCTGTGTCCCTCAAATGGGCTCTGAGTTCTCATAAGATGCAGAGTAAATGCTGCAAGGTTAGGCAACTGTGGGTGACACAGCTCTGCATCCCCACCCCACTTGACTTCCCAGCTGATACTCTTCTGTTGGAAAATAGCACACCAACAGCTGCTCTTTGAAAAAAGCTGCATGAAAGCCCAAAGTAAATGTCAACAGTTGCGTAGGCTTAACCAGGCCACGATTTGCAACCCATGTTTTTCAGACTCGCTGTCACCGCCTTGTAAGGCAGAGCAGAAAGCATGCAGCCCCCCCCTCCTATCATGTTAAACCACAGGGCCACTGTCAGCAGAAGAAAAATACAGGCAGCAACATTAATAAAGCCTCAGCCAGACAGGAGGTGGAGAAGATGAGACTGCCTCAGCTGAGAGCAGACTGCAAGAGCGCAAGGACTCAAAGCACAGATAAGCAAGGCTGAACACGAGCATGAGACTGCCCAGCTCCAAATGATGGAAGTGAAGGTGACACATTTGCAGCTGAGGATTGTGCAAGAGATGTACCCACTGCCCGCTGCACTGCTGGAACCAGAGAAGACTAGATGGGGTTGCAGGTATTTGACCCCAAACTGCTGTCCCTGCCCTTGTTGGATAGCAGCCTGACTTCAGCTCTTCCCATCCTGCAGAACCACCTTCTGGATGCTTGAGGTTCCACCAGTCAGGATGGGGACTGCAACACAGACCGTGCCATGGCAGTTAGTCCAAACTGAAGACCTCACAAGTGACCCGAGGTTGTTCAGCTTGCCTGGTGTGATACTGCATGTACACTGGTACTAAATTCCAGCTGGTCTGAAATCACAGAAGAGCCTACATTAATCCATGAAGCTCCCCAAAGAGGCTGGGGAGGGCAGGAGGGGAGGGAAGGGAGTTTTTGCTGACCCTCATTGGGCTTCAAAGGAAGGAAAATAAATAAATAAATAAAATCACTCTAATACAGAGGATGAGCCCCTATTCCTCAGTAGCACATCCCAGCTTCACTGACAATACCCCTCTTTCCCCCAGGCAATTACATCTTTCTCCTTACCTAGCTATTACAAAAGCAAGTTTAGACACAGAGTCCCAACCTGCCCCAGGCGCCTACTATGAACATGCCTCGCAGGGTCAGAGAGCAGACATCCACGGGTCCAGTGTCACGTGGGGTGGAGTCTGTCCAAAGCTTTCCAGGGAAGAGGAGAGGGACCTCCTGGTCAGGTCTAAACAAATTTAGGAGGCAACTGAACTCCTACAGCTAAGCAGATTCTCACACAGATATACAGAGAGACAGGGGGTGCAGGCAGCAAATGCAAGACTCCAGATACCACACATGGAGAGCACTCACTTCAGGCCAATTCCCATGCTCCTGCTTGCTACATGTCTGCCCCAGCAACCAGCCCAGTGCCCTATGCCATCCTGCAAGCCTCTGTCCCACCTGGGAGAAGTTAAGCCCGTTCAGTGGGTGGCACTGCTCCTCCACCTTCTCCACAGCGCCTGTTTGCTTCCTAAGCCGTTCTGCTTCCTGGGCCAGATACAGATCCAGGACGGGCACTCCTCGAGACTTGATGTCTACCTCCGTCAGGGAGTTCACCATCAGCATCACCCACACCGGCCTCTTCCGCTCCCAGTTGCCAGCAATGGCATTGAAGAGGTAGTCTGCATACAGCCCCTTGCCCCGCTGGTCGGGTGTCATCCAAGATGGCATCATGAGTTTCACATATTCCAGGTGCCGCTTGAGCCGGCGGTAGATGTCATGCGGCAGCACGTCCTGAAGGTTCTCCCCCTGTGGCAGCAGCTGGCAGCTGGTGAGAGCAGAGATGGTGTAGGGGTCGGTGAGGTCCAGCTCAAAGTACACTATGTGACTCTGCTGAAAGGCCTTCTTGGAGTTCTCTGGGATGAAATCCCAGACACGGGTGTATGGGACATGGATGGTGCCAAAGAAGTAAGATGGGGGATCTCTCTTGATGGTCCACAGAAAGGAGTTCAGTTCACTCTGCCAGGGAAGAGGGAGACACAGCTGAGTATGTGCAAACACTCACACCAGGCACTGCGTACAAGGCTAAAGGGAAATATGCCAACCCAGCAGGCCACTTGGTTCTGCAGCTTGCCAGCATGTACATTAACTAAAGAGGCTATGCACACACAACAAGCCTTTCTTCAGTATCTTTCTTCTCAGGCCTTCAGGTCAAAATTCATCTTTCATTAAATAAAAGCACTGTAAGTGTGGCCTTGGCTTTCTCCTGAGAGACAATGTCATAGCTTCTCAAAAGAAACACCATCCCAGCTCATCTTCCCAGTACTTACCAAAAGTAGCAACAGCACAGCCCATGCAGGCTATGCTTCTGCAAAATGTTTACCCAACTTCCACCTTTCATCAAGTCAAAAGTTGCTGTCACTCTGCTGAAATGGCAGACTGTCAATCACCTTCACCTTGGCACCTCTTGTGTCAGCACAGCAAAGACCTTTCCCTTAAGGAAGCTGCCATGACACACAATCAGAGGGCACCTTTATAGCATTTCCACTCTGAACAAGAACTAGACAAAAGAATAACACCAACTACTACATGGCAGAAATTCTTGCTGGAGCAGCTAGGACTAGAGTTTTACAAGGATGTGGCACATGGCAGACAGACATGCAGACAAGGCTCCTCAGCTCAATTCACCTTTTTTCTTATGGAGGAGAAAAACACATTCAATACCTTAGAAAAACAAGGGAAGAAACTCTGCAGGCCACATTTAGTCTGAAGTACCAGGCAACAGAAAACCTCTTTCTTTAGATCTAGCTTTTAGAAAGGTCTCCCCAAACCTCCTAGCTATCAGCAAGTCAGAATCAGACTATGTTTGTTCTACTGCAAGATGTGCTTTAAACCATCCCCGGAAACACTAAAGTGTGGGGTGTCCCCTGGGAGAGTAGAGCAGATAGGAAAAATCCGGGTCCTGCCCGGATCCCTGAAGTCATTTTACACCATCCGCAGACACGACTCCCATCAGGTGCAGTGATCCCTACTGAGCGGACACAGTTTGTATCTCCCTGAGCAGACCGGAAGAGGTATATTGCCTTTGCATATTTAAGAAGGAGGACAGGCTTCCAGATGGGCTCAAACATCTGGTCAGTCTTTAGCCAGCATATAACTCTAACCTCAGCTCCAAGGCTAACTGTGCATGTGTGCACATCTAAGATACCTGCCTGACTGCCAAATGCAGAACAGGCTGCTTGGAGGAATTTATTGGAAACACACTGCCTATAACTTTCTGATGCTAAAGAACAAGGGTCAGGAAGGTTAATCTTAAAAGATTGCTCTGCAATGGCTGATCCCAGACAATCTTTTTCCAGAACTCCGCATCGAGCCTAAGCCATGGATCAGACAGCACTTCAGCAAGTGTATGGCTTGCCAGTACACTGACAAATAAGTAAACACCAAGCAGTCTTCAGACACTTCTGTGGCACATTAAAGGTCTGTAAGATACCTCAGAGACCTGAGTTTGGGTAACGAGATACATCTCTGCAACTAAACAGACAGTCCTGGAACACTTTCCTAAATCACAGACCATAAAAACATTCCTGGAGACAACAGGTAGAAAAGAATGAATGATACACAGCACTAAGAAGGAAGGAAAATACGGGACAGAGTATGAATCCAACACAAACCCAGAAACTACATGAAAAAAATGAATGCACACAGGAAACCAGACCGGATTCACTCCTGCCTTTTGCCAGGAGGGAAAATGAAAGGACGTATCTCTGCTGTGAGAAAAACAAGTAGACAGCAGCCAGCAGGAAGGAATGACCAGCAGGGCTGTTTTTTACCTACAAGCATGAAAGAAAGCAGAAGATGCACCTGGGACAGGAATGAGGTTTGGAGGTGAACACAACTTCACGCAAGTCTGATCATGTACATGCAGCAACAGAAATCGCAAGGAACAAATGGCCACCAGCCCTCTTACATTTCAGTCCAGCTCCTGCACAGAGCCACCCAGCAGATTCAAGCCCAGACGGGGTATCTGGCAATGTCAGTTCTGCTCCAGATCACTGTATACAACCCAGCTAGAAAGGTGTTTGGCATTGCACCCTCAAGTCTTTTGCTCTGCAAATCATCACAGCTTTTGCTTCACATACTGCAAGCTGAGTAATGCCACCAGCTTCCAGCAGTACCAATGACAGAACACACAAGCCAGGCACAGAGCAAACACTGTAGAGTCTACAGCAACAGGCATTAAAAGAAAGCACACTGAGACCTAGTAAAACTTATCGCTCATATTGTAGTGAGCAAGAGCTTACTCAACAGAGTGGCTGGGCACTCTGCATGCACCTCCACAGCAGAGGCAACGCAATCCCAGAGCGATGGGCCTTCATCTCAATCTGCCTGGCTCACAAGCACTATGCAGAGCTAGTGCAAAGGCTGAAGGGCAACTCTATTTTCAACTTGGTGCAGCTCCTAGAGCTTACCACATTTCAGTCCAGCTTCAGAGAGAGGAAAGGAAGGGTATAATCTCTCCCCAGGTCCGTAAAAGGGGAGCTCTTTAGCTATGTGTTAGGTGGCCGTGAGATAGTGCAGCAGCAGTGCCAAGGCTTGCTTAGCATTGCAGAGTATGCCATGACTGGAAGCCTCTCTCTCACCTCACTTTCCTGAGAGCATGCAAGAGATAAAGGTGCTACATCTAGTTTGTAGCAGGACCCTTCCATACAGCTTTTACTTCAGAAAGGAGCATGAAACAGTGAAAATGGTATCCTGGAGGCTGCAGAGAGAGCTGGGCTTGGCAGCTCCAGGAATTTCACTTTCATAAGCATAATAGGAAAACAGGCAGCTTCATGTACAGACCACCATGTGCATATCTGTTTCCACTCCCAGATTTTGCAGGGCACAGAATACTTTATTCACTATGGCAAAAACAAGGAGTAAGGGGAGAATTGGATGGCAGCCTGAGGAAGAGAGCAGCAGTCCCACGTGAGGCCTGTTGATTCGTTGCTCCACTGAGATTTCAGGCAATGTCAAATGAACCACAGCACATGCCCTCTGCCACAACACATCTCCACTAGGACTGTGTTTAATCTCTGCTAGGGAGCCCCATATCCAATTATTTCTGGATGTTCAGCATGATGACCATCTTCCCAGGGGAACAACATTAGACAGTGAACAGATTCTGGGTTCCAGCCAAGCAAAAAGTTTGTCTTGAATGCACATACACACATCAAAGAAAAAGAAAAGAAAAGAAAAAGGTTTTCTTCAGTTAGCTCAGTTCTTACAACTGAAAGCACAAGAAGCACTATGAGGTGGTGGTGGAAAAAGTAGATGAAAAGGAAAAGGAAGTGCTCAAACTAACACTGGCCAATGGAAACATATACTTATGGAAACACAGTCCTATGGAATTCACTCCCTGCTATGAGATAGGGAAAGCCTTGCTGCCCCACCTCACCATGACTACACAAGCACCCACTCTGAGCTGCAACGGGGTGCACCTAAGGACAGATAATGTTTCCACAAAATGAAATGATAAAAGCATTAGGAATTGCAGAAAAGCAGGGAAAGTGTATCGCACATGAAGGGTTTTCCTCAGCGGCTCAGGAAGGGTTTGGAAAAGAACAAAAAAGCTTGAGGAATGGGAGACTAAAGTGAAGCATCAAGAAGTGATAGTTGAACCCCAAGAATCCAGCCCAATATCGCAGCATCTTTCCTGAAACAGGAAGCTGTTTGTCCACCGGCGGCCCTGGAAACTCTCATTACCTCCTGCCTCCTTCTTTCTGCTTCAGCAGAACAGAGGCTCTGACTGACAGGTATTTTCTTTATTTTCCAATAAGATTCTTCCTCCTGCTTTCAGAGAAAATTCTTTACTATGAGAGTGGTGAGGTGCTGGAACAGGCTGCCCAGAAAGGCTGTGGATGCCCCATCCCCAGAGGTGTTCAAGGCCAGGTTGGGATGGGGTCCTGGGCAGCCTGTTCTAGTATTAAATCGGGAGGTTGGTGGCCCTGCCTGTGGCAGGGGGGTTGGAGATTCATGATTCTTGAGGTCCCTTCCAACCCGGGTCATTCTGTGATTCTGTGAAAAGAAAAAAGAAGAAAAAAGCCAAACTTCCAATACAGCTCATTTTAACAACCTTCAGTAGCTTGCTTTTCCAGCAGCATTTCTAGGACTACCAAGGAAAGTAGTCTTCAGGTATACAAATGCTAATGCAGAAATCTCTTCTGGTGAGGCAACAATAATTCTTCTGGAAGAGAAGTGCCAAATAGGATCTGTTCTTCTTCTTCTGACAAACGAGCTCAAAGTGGGACAAATGACATACTGTCAAAAATAAAATAACAGTAAACATCCAGGAAATAACACAAAGAAAAACATGAGAAACAAAGAATGCCTCTAATGACAGTACTCTGAGCATCCAGAAAAGGAGCAACAGTATGATGGGAATTTTAAAAATGAAAGTTTTAAGAGCAACAGGTTGTGGAGATCCAGGGAACAGGGGATCTGAAGGGAAGGATAGCTGCAGTCTGAGGAGTGAGGAACTGGATGCAAACTTCTGACTCAAGGAAGCCTGCTTCAGGTCTGCCCAGATGACTGAGCAAGTTGCATTACTACTGCTTCCTTCTACCTTTTGATCCTTGTTTGTGTTGACTGTAAGTTTTTCAGCACAAAGTACATCACTTGATGTGCAGGCAGCTGCCTTCCACTGTTTCAGAGTTCTCCCGAACACCAAACCCTCACAATCATCCAAACAGCTAAGTCTTCCAAACAGCAGCCCAGAACTGCACTGTTTCTCAATCCAAAAAATGCTCTTAAATGTTTCTTGCAACAAAAGCCAGAGCATGTGGCATGCGGTGTTTTACCCAGGCAGGCAGCCCTGTAGCCCTCCCTATATGGCTTTCTCCCTCCTTATCTGCTCTGGTGTTATGCCTTGTCATACCCATTTATACCTAATTGAGGCAAAGACTGCACCTTCACTCACCATACAAAGTGCCCAATGCAGCAACAATAATGCACAAAGAAATGTAAGGCACATTTTTAAGTTCTCTTAAGCTTTTGCCCATTTACATTACTGACATTAAAACTCAGCTAAGACTGTAAGCAGAACTCACCCAGGGATAAACACTACGCTGGCTACTATTACAACTATTAAAGGAACACAATTTAGTCTCCATTTGACAGAAGTGAAAAATTAAAAATTTAAAGGAAAAAAAAATTTAACTAAAAAGCCAAGGATTTGCAGCAGACATTATTTGCTCTATCAAATTCATAGGTGACTCCAAAAGTAATGCCTCCTATTTATTTCCATTGAAACTATAACAAAGAGCATAGCAACGCTATTCATTAGAGCAAATTCTCAGCTACAAAACACTGATTTTCAGTACAGTCACTACCATGAGCTGTGCATTTTCACCAGTGATGAACTAGAACCTGCATGCCATGCTCATAAACATCTGCACCAGCAGGGTGACCCGCTGCAGCCATTGCCATTGCTGAAACACACCACCCACTGCCTCGCAGTGCTCACATTCACTGTCTGATCTCCAGAAATGTTCAGCAAGTGCCAGTGAATGTCAGTGGATGCTATTTTTTCCGTATGGAGGAAATTCAGTGCCACACTTTTTGCTTCATCTGCACTTCCTCCTCAGAGATCATTCTGCCTGACTGCTCTTCTGCTGCCATCTGTCACACGACAACAACATGTAATGGAATATTGGTGGGAAGGTTCAACCTCTATTGCCATAGCACCAACATCTACCGTGGAAGGTGTGGGCTGACAACATAAATTAGAAGACATTACTTTCAGAGCAGCTCTCGTATAGGAGAGAAAAGCAGCCATTTAAATTGGTTGACTCCCTGACAGGAACAACACATCATTAAGTATTAACTAGCTACAACCACTGGCATGCTTCTGTGGATTCTGGCTTGAAATCAGTGTTCTCTGATGTTAAGCAAAAAGAAAGTACTACCAGATTCCAACATTCTTACTTGTTTTAGAGTCTTTCTTTTTTACTGTGAAAAAAGAATGATGAGACTCATTACTGACTGCAGCTTTAACTATAATATGGAGCACTTCACCTTCAGTTTTGCCACTAACTCTCATAAATCCGACAGAACCAAATAATAGAATCACAGAATGGTGCAGGTTGGAAAGGACCTTAAGGCCCACCAAGTTCCAACTCACTGCCATGGGCAGAGCAGCTACGTAGGCAGACAGACTATTCCACTGGCAGTGCCTTAGGCCCTAGGTTACAGGACATGCCACAGTTCAGTGGCAGTGGGGCCCAGTACCAACAGCTGGAGGCAGCAAGGCCCTGAGGCCTTGGTTCTGGTACATGGGGAGGGAAGAGCAGGTCACAGAGCATCCCAGGCCTTCTTGTCAGTACCAAGCCTTCCTGCTGCTCCCACACCGCAACGAGGCTTTGTTACCTCCCTTGTGCAGCACTGCTGCACTTCCTTCCAAGGGTTTCTGGCTGCCTTTGTGGCCATGGTGGTGGGGCTCACCTTTCCTCAGCCAGGAGAACATAATGTGATCCAAGGGATGGAACACCTGCCCTGTGAGCAATGGCTGAGAGAGCTGGGGCTGTTCAGCCCAAAGAAGAGAAAGCTGTGGCATGACCCAGTAGCAGCCTTTCTGTATCTAAAGGGGGGCTGTAAGAAGGAAGGGGACAGACTCTTTAGCAGGGGACAAGGGGAAATGGTTTCAAACTCAAAGCGGGGAGATTTAGATTGGATATAAGGAATATGGTTTTTTTATGATAAGAGTGGTGAGGCACTGACACAGGTTGACCAGAGAGGTGGAGGATGCCTTGTCATTGGAGACACCGAGGTCAGGCTGGACATGCTCTGAGCACTTGATTCAAATGTAGGTGTCCTTGCTCACTGCAGAGGAGTTGGACCAGACAGCCTTTAAGAGGCCTTTCCCACTCAAACGCTTCTATAGCAAGTGGTGCGATGCACGCTGCCCTCACCTCTGGTCACAGGCCGTTTCCATGTCCATTGCCTACAGAGAGCAGGGATGTTCTATCAGACCTAATAACACACAGCAAGCTCAGGATGACTTTTCTTATATGGCTCTTTGTGCTTTCACCTCAGAAGCTTCACCGAGAACTGCTTTTTCCCTATGTCTGACTTCTAACGGACACAGCACTCTGCCCACGAGCAGCAGGCAGCCCTCGGCTGCACTGGGCTGGGCAGCCCGTGCCGCTCACAGCACTCAGACGGGTGGAGTGAGAGCACAAACAACCCCGCACAACCCGTCACCGCACTTCTGCTGAAAGGCCACTGGCACTGCTGCTCTGAACCTGCCCCACCACGCACCGGATAAAGCAGGAAGCCAACCGCCCGTCCCTGCGAGGAGCGTGCTGCTCCCGCACCTTCCTTCTGCAGCAGCGCCGTCGGCCAGGGGGCGGATCCTCGCACGGAGCGGATTCAGGTGCAAGCGCAGCCGCCCACAGTCCCCCATCGCACCCTCTGCCAAAGCGCAGCGGTGCTTGGCCTCGCCGGCGCAGAACCCCGGGGCACCGCCGTTCCCTCACTGCCCGTCCCCATCTGAGCCGTCCCCATCCCGGGCTGCCCCTGGGGGAAGGAGACCCCCCGCCACCTCCGCGCCCGCCGCTTACCTTTCCGCGGAGCGGGCAGGCGCCGGCGGGGCCGCGACTCTGCCGCGCTCTGGCCAGCAGGAGGAGGCTCTGCAGCAGGCAGACCCAGCCGGGATGCACCATCCCTGCTCGATCCCGGAGTTGGCACAATTTGGGGATGGCGTTCCTTTTTTTTTTTTTTTTTCTTTTTCCCCTTCCTTTCTCTCCCCTCCTGTTTCCAATCCTTTCCTACCCCCTCTTTTTTTTTTTTTTTTTTTTCCCCTTCTTTTTCTCTTTATAAATACTCGACTATTCTGCTATTTTTCTTCTCGCGTATTACTATTATTTTTTAACTTCTTATACGCAGGCGGCTCAATCCCATAGCCCTCGCGGGAGCGGCCCCATCCCCTGGCCAAGCCCTCCAGTTGCTCCCTCTTCCTCTTAAAGGGTCCCGTGCCGGGCGGGGGGTCGCGGGGGGGAGGAAGGGGAGGGCGCGGGGCCCGCCGCACCGAGGGCGGGCGATGCGGCGGCGGCGGCGGGGGGGGAGGTTAGAGATCCCTCGGCCCCGCTCCCCGCCGTCCGCATCGCTGCGCTGTCCCGGCCCGCCGGAGCAGACGCCGCGCCCCCGGCCCGGCCCTGCCTGCCCTCTGCCCTCCTGCCTGCCGCCCTTCCCTAAGTGAGGAATCGAAGTTGTGATCCTTCCCTAGCCTCTTTATTGCCCATCCGACTTCGGACCGACTGTAGCACGCGGGAGCCTTTGACTCGTTTCAGCATGGCTGCGTCGTCGTGCAGTTTGTCCACTGAAACCGTGTCCAGTGCGCTTTGCACAAGTGGTGTGGTTAAAGACAAATATGTGCTGAAGGGCATACCAACATCTCTACTTGCAGAACTCACCAGTATTTTCTGAGGAAACTGATTTCTAATCCTTGAAAAAGTACATACTGCTGATGACCAAATCTGATACCTGCCAGGACTGTTGGTTTTTGTGTTGCTTTTGTCACACGTGAATTTTTTACTGTTTTATTTATGGCAGCATCTTTCTAATCATTTTAATCTAATTACTAAATAATTTAGCTTTAATACATTCAGGGCTTCTCCCTCTAATGCCCACCGAGGTGAACCAAGGTGTTGCATGGAGCTTTCCCTCCTGCATCACCCATAGTTGGTTTGATTAAATACCACAGGCCAGGCAGTGGACACAGTGCTGGCTAACTGTGTCAGGCTGTGTGCAGACTCAGGCAGTCATTGTGCCTTCAGCTTTATTTTTAATTTCAAGTGCATCTTTTTCAATCCCAGAGATCCAGATCTCTGATCCGGGGTTCAGAATCAATGACAAACTTCCCACCAACTCCTAGAGAGCAGAGATCTCTGTCTCTGCCTTCATTTGTACTGGTTTTGCAGTACAAAGCAGTGTCCCCCAGGACAAGATTTTTTTGGCAAGAGCCAAAATCCTTCGTTTTTTGTTGTTTTGCCTTTTATGTTCATTACTGTGTTTTGGGCTTGGAAGAGGAGAATGATACCAATTGTATATTAAATGCATCATTAAATGCATCTTCTTTCCTTAGGTCCTGCTGACCATTTAGGACAAAAAAAAAAAAAAAAAAAAAAAAAAAAAAAAAAAAAATCTGGCAAAGAATTTGGCATTTATGCAATATATTGTAGCTGTAATCTCAACTACTTTGTTATTCAGTTTTTACAGGGAGAGAGAGTGCTACCTGCCATCTGTCAGCCTGCCAGAAATTCCTGTGCCTATCAGAGCAAGAGCTGAGGAAGTGACATCTTTCTCCATCGCCTTCTCAGAATATCCCTGATTCAACACAGAAGGCATCAAAGTGAGTTGCCCTCCAGTAAAGCAGTTTTCCAAACAAGTGTCACCCTTAGCAGACAGGTGTAAAACACATCAACAGTATGTATCTCCCCCAGAGTGCAGTAAGTGAGACCCATGTTTGGTTGTACGCCTTCCTGGGCTTGGAAGCTAGATAGCATTCATTCTTAGAGTGCCCAGATTGAGCTGTAAAGAATAAGAATAAATCTTCCATGGCACAGAGATGTCCTGCCAAGCTGATTAGGTACCTTCTGTGTGACTATTTTTAGTTTCTTTCAGTTCTGAAGTGGAAAATAAGTAGCAACACTTTCTGAAATACACAGCTTGTGTGCATATAGACAATGCAGATTAAGGTGCTGCTCAGCTGCATTTCTGTATTTGGGAAGTTGCTTTATCTGTGGTGAATTGCTGATGGAAAATAGCAGCAGAAGAAGGACAAAGGGAGGCTTTCATAGAGACTTTCAAAGTAATTTATACTTTCAATGGAACGTTTCAGTAGAAAGCCACATCCCAGACCTATTAATAGAGACCTAAGAGATAAAATTAGCATTTTAATTTAATAATGTTCTGTTTGTAGCTTTGCTAGGTTTACCCATTGCAATCCATTGCAAAATGATTTCAACAGAATTTTGGTGTGTGCTTGATGTTACGGACATGCTTCTGAACTTTCCACAGAAGAGGTAAACCAAAGCATTCTCCTGAATCAGGGTCTTAAGATCTCAGGGCCAAGTAGTGAACTGGGCTATACTCATAATTAGCACATTTTTATCTGCTTCATAAAACCACTGACATTTAACTGAAATCATTTTCCCAGGCCATAGGAGCAGCTGTATGCTGATGGCTGAGGACATCAGAAGTGAGAGGCTTCTAGAGTGGTTCCTGCTGACAACAGGGTCTGTAGAGGACAGCACAGAGCTCTTGCATCCACATGCATGTGCAGCACTTCATGGGTGCAGGATGGGTGCTTCTGAAGGGCCTCTAGAGCTTGTGGGTGTGCTTTTGCTACCTAGTATTAACCAACAGTGTGAAAGAAAGCCACTTTGTGCAGCCAAACACAGCCAATCTTGAGCAAAAGAAGCCACAAAAGAGATTTGCAAAGATTTTGGGGCACAGTATATTCCAACCCTGTTAACAGGCTGGTCAGCTATGATTCACCCTCTGATTAGCAGAGTTGCAGTGAGTTTAGATTCAGCATACATTTTAAACACCACGAAAGATAATGTTAGGATTTCTCACCATTTAAATTATGAACAGATATCATAAAGCAGAAAATAAAGTAGGCAGAGGAGCTTTATTCATTGAGCTGAGGAAAAAGTAGTCTACTTTATCTGCATTTGAGAGAAAGTTTGCTTAGAAGTACTGATGTCTGCATCAGAGATTCAGAAACACAGATCCCCAGTTACGCCTCAAGATAAAACGGGTTAGTGAACTTTGTAGTATATAACTGTATGAAAGTGTTACATCAGGTGGAAGGGAAATATGGGGAATATATTACAGAGTTAAGTGGTTACACATAATTATCAGGCATAGTGAATCAGAAGCCAAAAATAAAGAGCAGAGAGTAGAATTCTTTTCTCTAAACACATCTTAATAAAAGAAAGGTCAGTTTGAATGGAGAGAGAAAGCTAAACAAAAATAAATTTCTTGGGCACTGACAGGAGGTGAAGAGAATATACATGCTGAATTGCAATAGGCCTCAGCCTGTCAGAAATACAGCAGAGGGTCATTTGAAGCCAGGCTAGGAAGAGTTAAAGGACAGTTTGCACAGAATCACAGAATCACAGAACTGCCGGGGTTGGAAGGGACCTCAAGGATCATGAATCTCCAACCCCCCTGCCACATGCAGGACCACCAACCATCCCACCTAATGCACAGAAAAGGGGTTTGCAAACCCCTTTCCCTAATTTGAAAGTATTTTTATAAGCATGCAATCACAAAATTATCTATTTAGAAGATAAGAATAAGGAACTGTTTAAAAGATGAGAATAAGGTGTTAACAGAATAGCATGAATGTACTTAATTATTCAGATATTAATTCATAACATTAGGAGGAAAAAAATAGATTGTAAAAAAAAAAAAGGCATCATCTAATGAAACATAGTAAATAGAGAACACATATTTAATGCAAGTAGAAAATACTGTGTTTATGGAGCACTTCAAAGGGGTGACAGAATCATGTTGTCATCATATGGCATCTTGGGAAGCGAAGCAGAGCACACCTCAGTGGTAAAGTTCAAGTGGTCTGAGTGAATTTGACTGATTTCCTGTCATCAGAAGGAATGTCTCATCCTGATCAGTCCATCAGTTACCCATTTAACTGATGGTTTGGTGTTTGCACCATGACTGTATCATGAAATTGCACCCAGAAGAGAGGGTGAGGTGCCAGAAATGGCTGTTAGACTGGAAAGGGAAATGCAGTCCCTCAAGGGTAATTTGGCACTCCACCCGGGAACCACAGCCCTGTGCATGGCCATCAGCCCTGCTAGCTGAAAAACAGCTGATGTGGCAATGGAAAGGATGGGTGCTGCAGTCTGTCAGATCTTTCCCCCTTCTCTAGCCCTTCACTGGATTAGAAGGAAGATGCAGGAGCAGTAAGCCCTGGAAACTCCAGATGGATCTCAATGGTATGTACATAGCCATTCATCCAGGAAGAACTGGGAAGTCTGATCCTCCCAGGGGGGATCCACAGTTTGCAAAACATTCCATTTACATAGATAGATGTCCAATGTCTTCCAGGAAATATGAGGAGAAATTGCCTATTGCCTGCAGAACATCTGAAGAAAATCTAGAATGAGTAGAAACGTGCTGAATTCAGCTTATCTGCTAAATTACCATGATATTTTTTTCCAGGACATCTTAGGGGGAAAAAAGATATATATATATATATATATATTTTTTTTTTGTGACTGTAAAAAGATTTCTGCAAAGAAAGGAGAAATTATCTGAGTGAAAACACTTATTTTGTCCTCATTTTCTAATTGGCTCTGAAAAATGTTAGCAAAGCTTTCAGGATGGAAGACATTGTGTAGGCGAGGCTCTAATTAGTTACAAAACATAACTGTAGGATTGTGTCATGTAGCTTTTTATTTTTTATTTTTTTATTTTTTGGGTACAAGCAGATAAATATGTAGTTAATATCTTCTTGCAATTAATAAGCCAAAAACAGACTCGCAAAGGACATGACAGAAGTGAAGCTTCAGCACAAGAGAAACCACATGAGTCACTGAATCCTTAAGATTGGAAAAGTTCTCTAAGATCATCAAGTCTCACCATCAGCCCATCTCCACCGTGCACACTAAACCATATCCCTCAGTGCCACATGCACACAGTTCTTGAACACCTCCCATGGACAGTGATCCACCACCTCCCTGGGC